GTGGAACATGGCGAGATTGTTCTTGGACCCTCAGAGCAGTACATCAGTGCGCGCTGGAAGAAAAGTTCCAATTTCGTCAAGAAGAGGTCTGCTGTCGACAAGATGATGAGCCGCTCCTGGAAGACGTGTTTCAAGGTTCCCGTTTTGAAGGATGGCGCGGTTGATGCTCTGCGCCACTGCGACTGCTTCGGACGCCGTTTCACTTGTTTCGATTTGGGATGCTAGACCCGAGGGCTCTCAGTTTTACCCAGTTCCATTCTGTGCGACTAGTTTGTAAGACCCTTCGCGCGTGGCCCGATCGTGGATCTCACAGCGCAGGACAGCGGTGGTCAATGTTTTCGGGAATGACTGGCATCAGGGACTGCCATGAAGCCATGGCCTTCCAGCGCTGAGAATGCGTTTGGAGTCTATTGTGAGGGTGAGTGAGCATCGCTGTGGCAGATGTGCTCACTACATGATTCACATGTCCCTTGGCGTCGGTCCTAGAATGAATGTCTACTCCTGCATTTCCGAGACGCAGGTCGATCGGTGGCCCCCAGCAAACTTCCCCAAGCATAATGCCCATGAGCAATAGTGCCAACCTGCAGGCATCACTTACGTTGCGAAGCTCTGGGTCCATACCACGGCTGCAAAGGAGATGTAAGACGTGGTCCAGACATTTTTTGGGGGTACAAGTTAGGTTGCATATTGCAGCGAAGGTGTGCCCAGATGCTTTTCCAAGTGCGCATGCGTGCCCAGATGTCCCAACCGAGGATGCCGATGTGAAGCTGTCTGGTCTCGGATTCTCTCGCCTCGCACTCGTGCCGGAGCATTGGCGGTGGTTTCCGCGGTGGACTATCAAGCTGAGTGCAGCTGCCCGCTTGCTGGAGCGCTCGGGCACCCCCTATTGGCCGCCCATCTCCGAGCCGCCGAGCTTCGCGAATGAGATGGGCGAGTCTGCGGGCGAGTCTGGATCGGACCTTGGCAAGGTGAGCGGCGCTACTTTGGGGGATCTCTCCTGGCGAGCCTTCCACTTGGTTTCTGTGTTCGCGCGGCTGGAGCGGCCGCGCGCCGCGGATAACCCGGGGGCGACCTTCGAGGTGAGGGTGTCAGGATCGAAGGTTACGGCTGCTCATGAGAAGCCTGATGTGAGCTGAGGCTTCGGCTGGGCTTTCGGCCGAAAGCAAAACTGAAACAAGTGTGGTTGTCATGTATGTGTCAGCCATCCTGCCTGCCGCGCCTCTCTCTCTCTCTCTCTCTCTCTCTCTCTCTCTCTCTCTCTCTCTCTCTCTCTCTCTCTCTCTCTCTCTCTCTCTCTCTCTCTCTCTCTCGCCTGCCCCCCTCCCGCAGTCGTCTCGGATCGCAGGGCCCTTGGGTTGCGCGGCGCGCCGGCAGCGGGCGTGCGCGAGCCCCCTTAAGAGGAAAGAGCACGTTCTCTTCTCTCTCTCTCTCTCTCTCTCTCTCTCTCTCTCTCTCTCTCTCTCTCTCTCTCTCTCTCTCTCTCTCTCTCTCTTTCTCTTTCTTTATTCCCAACCCTCCTTGGTTGGGTATTCGTTTTGAATAGAGCAGTGTGGTCGCGTCTCCTCCCGCCTCCCTCCTGCCTCCTGCCTGCCTCCTCCTGTCTTGCCCGCGGGGGGCTGCGATCTGTGAAACTGTCGCCACTTTCGAGGCCTGCTGGGGGGTCCAGCATAGAGGGTAACCGCGGCAGATTCAAATTAGACCTCGCCATCCCTGGGGGGCTGCGATCTGTGAAACTGTCGCCACTTTCGAGGCCTGCTGGGGGGTCCTGCATAGAGGGTAACCGCGGCAGATTCAAATTAGACCTCGCCATCCCTGGGGGGCTGCGATCTGTGAAACTGTCGCCATTTTCGAGGCCTGCTGGGGGGTCCTGCATAGAGGGTAACCGCGGCAGATTCAAATTAGACCTCGCCATCCCTGGGGGGCTGCGATCTGTGAAACTGTCGCCACTTTCGAGGCCTGCTGGGGGGTCCTGCATAGAGGGTAACCGCGGCAGATTCAAATTAGACCTCGCCATCCCTGGGGGGCTGCGATCTGCGAAACTGTCGCCATTTTCGAGGCCTGCTGGGGGGCCCAGCACAGTGAGGGCCACGGGCAGATTCAAATTAGACCTCGCCATCCCTGGGGGGCTGCGATCTGCGAAACTGTCGCCATTTTCGAGGCCTGCTGGGGGGCCCAGCACAGTGAGGGCCACGGCGGATTCAAATTAGACCTCGCCATCCCTGGGGGGCTGCGATCTGCGAAACTGTCGCCATTTTCGAGGCCTGCTGGGGGGCCCAGCACAGTGAGGGCCACGGCAGATTCAAATTAGACCTCGCCATCCCTGGGGGGCTGCGATCTGCGAAACTGTCGCCATTTTCGAGGCCTGCTGGGGGGCCCAGCACAGTGAGGGCCACGGGCAGATTCAAATTAGACCTCGCCATCCCTGGGGGGCTGCGATCTGCGAAACTGTCGCCATTTTCGAGGCCTGCTGGGGGGCCCAGCACAGTGAGGGCCACGCGCTGATTCAAATTAGACCTCGCCATCCCTGGGGGGCTGCGATCTGCGAAACTGTCGCCATTTTCGAGGCCTGCTGGGGGGCCCAGCACAGTGAGGGTAATCGCCGCGGATTCAAATTAGACATCGCCATCCCTGGGGGGCTGCGATCTGCGAAACTGTCGCCATTTTCGAGGCCTGCTGGGGGGCCCAGCACAGTGAGGGCCACGGGCAGATTCAAATTAGACCTCGCCATCCCTGGGGGGCTGCGATCTGCGAAACTGTCGCCATTTTCGAGGCCTGCTGGGGGGCCCAGCACAGTGAGGGCCACGGGCAGATTCAAATGAGACCTCGCCATCCCTGCGGGGCTGCGATCTGCGAACCTGTCGCCACTTTCGAGGCCTGCTGTGATCCCCGTTTTCGAAGTGGCTAGGAGTGCTCAGGAATTGTAAATCATCAGCTTTATCAAGCCCTTTTCCTGTAGCCAGTGTCCTGCGAGTCTCCCGAATTCCGTCTGCAGACATATGTAACCCTCGGTCCGTCACCGCCCCCTTATAAAGTATCCTAAACTATTTGCGCCCCGCTTTTGCGCAGGGGTTGGGTACGTCGCCAGGGTAATTTCTCTCTGTCTCTCTCTCGCTCTCTCAGCACGGGTCCCTCTATTTGCGTATCGTGTCTTTCTGTGCTCTATTCAGCTACTGCAGTGCAGTCCACAATGGGGGATGGAGGGATGAGAATGGAATGATCGAGAATCGAAGGGGGTTGGGAGTGTCTGAAGGCCTCTTGGGATGCTTTACGGCCTATGGATGCGGGGCAGTCGCGTCATCTTATTCGATATTGATTGCTAGTTCTGTCCGTGGCCCATCTCAGGGCCTTCCTGGATCGTCTTGGACTCTCTTGGGGGCGCCCTGGGCCGTCTCGGGTCCCTTTTGGGCCGTTTTGGGCCGTATTGGGCCGTCTCGTGGGAGACAGCGCCGGGGCAGCCTTGGCCCCGAGATTTGCTCAAACGCGTTAGTATAGCGTCGGGCGGCGACCTGGGCGGTATTTGGGTGGGCGTCCTCTTTCGAGCATTCCTTATCATCCTCCTCTTCAACGTCAATCTTCTCCTCAGTGGACTGCTGATCCTACTCCTTGTCGAGAACGTGCACTTGCAAAAGGGGAAGAGGTGGCATGGTTTAAGAAGTACCCGAAGTGACCGTGGGCAGTCACTGCGGAACCGAAGCGCATTATTTTACAAACCAGCGCCGGGCCAATCGTGACCCTACAGATGTGTCCAAGCGTGCAAAGTGTGTTCCGGATCGAACTCGGAGATGCTTCGCGGGAGCGTATTAGAAACGGTCCTGAATTGTTTTGGGGTCTCTTGTGGGCCTTCTGTGGCCTCTTGCGTGTTTCTTGGGGTATCGTAGTGGCTTGTTGGAACCCTGCGGACGGTGTCGGGTGCCATCATGCGGCGGATGGTTTGCCGTCCGCGGTCTCCCTCATAGGGGTCTCTTGTGGGTTTGTGGGGCAATTTTGGTGGTTTCTTGTGCCGTCCTGGGACCGTCTAGAGACATCCGGGTGTCTTCTGGGGGTCTTTTGGGCAGTCTTGGGGGCCTGTGGGGTGTTCTTGGAATTCGATAGATACATAACAAATCAGCATGTCCCCAGAAAGGGGGCGTAAAAAACGATGTTTGCCTCTCGGGGCCCTCTTGGGGACAATCTTGGAGCCCTTTTGAGTGGTGTCAGTGGTTTTTGGGGGCAGTCTTAACCACTTCGTGGGTTGTTTGGGACCCCCCGGGCCATCTTAAGCCGCCTCGACGGCCGCCTGATCGTTCTCGGGGACGACTGGGCCCCCAAGCGCGGGCCTGGCCCCGCGACCCCGCGGGGCCAAATCGGGTTTCCGGGGGAGGGGGAGTTTTGGAAAAGTGTGTTCCTTTGGGGCCCGAAGGGCTGGACGCCGTTCATGGTTGACTGCCCTGATATTCGTCTTGAAATGTGACACGTACTGCGTTCAAAACGTGCATGTGAATACGCTGCGTGTTGGCTCGGCGCGTTGTGGCCCACGATTTTGGGGACGTATCGCGCCAGGCCTACGTGTTCAATATACGTGTTGATCTCCGCATCAACTCGCTACCGTTTGCGCCTTGCGTATCGGGGCGGATAATGATATGTGTCATGCGGGCTGCTGGACGAACGATACCCGGTAATTTTATGTGTCAGGATAGGGGGTAATGATAATGGGCAAGCAATCGATACCCTAGAATGCAGGCATGATTACTGCCCATATCGATGGCAGTTAGGAGTCTCGGGCTCCCTTGCCCAGAAGAAAAAACGGGCGCACTGGATATGGAAAACGACTAGCCTCTAGAGGCTCGACTTTTATCCATGTCCACTGCGCCTCGGCCTTGCGGCGCCCCTCCCAGGAGGACGAAGAGGAGATGGACGAAGAGGAGGAGGAGGAGGAGGAGGAGGAGAAGGAGAAGAAGGAGGAAGAACGTCACAGAAGGCAGGCTGGGCACCCTCACGCTCCTTGCGCGTCGCCCTCGGAGGCCGGAGCGGCCGTCGCCCTCGGCGCCGCTGGCCTCGCGGCGGGCGGCGTCGCGGCCGGCGGCCCGCCGCGGCCGGTGGGGCCCGCGGCGAGGTCGGCAGGGCAGGAAGCGGCTGCACGTAAGTGTGGCCCCCAGACATCGGAGCAGGGCATCTGGGGAGAAAAAGATACGGATACGTGTTGTCCCCCTTCGTTTTCGGCCTTTCCTGGTCCTCCTGGGGGGAATCCTCGTTGTCACCGCTGGATTCGCCTCGAAATTCTGGTCAGAACGCACCCCAAGAGAGGTCCGGGGACAACACGTATCCGTATCTTTCCGCCCCCCAAGGGAAAGGTATCCACACCGCTACCACGGCCTCGTTTTCCCCGTCTTGGGCCTCCTGGGAGGCCCTCGTCGCCACCGCTGGGTTCGCCTCGGCATTCTGGTCGGACCGCGCCCCTGGACAGATCCAGGGCGTAGTGATAGCCGTGCCTTTTGGTTTTCCCAGACATGCTCGTGTTTTTGAGGAAATCAGTGCGAGGGGGTTTTGGTAGTTTTCGGCCTCTGGAGGCCTTTCCTGGGCTCCAAGGCCGTCAAGAAACGACTCAGGATGAGAAGCTGGTCCCGTTGAGATGGTCGACATTTCAGGTGGCCCCGTATTGACACACAGATCAAGACGCCGCAAGTCTGGGGCCCTTCGCCAGAGTGATCTTTGGTGCGGGCCCCCGGCTACCCCCCGATCGCTGAAAGAGATGCGACAGCTGCGGCTGGCGCGCTTGGTTTGGGCTTCCTCGTGACCCCCCTAAGGCCCCGCACCAGCCGAAGGAAGCTTGGATCGGTAGCAAATCATGGGAGCCTTGTACGGTCGCGAAGTTCCTTGTTTAGAGTGAGTTGGCGTGCGTTAGCGTCTGGCAGTGGATGAAAAATCGCCGATCTAGCGTCGATTAAGCGTAGACTAGTGTCGATTGGCGTTTGCTAGCGTGAATTAGCGTCGGCCAGCGTCGATGAGCGGTTATTCGCGTCACTTGGAGTCGGCCAGCGTCGATGCGCAAGATCCAGCAAGATGGCATGGGAGGCTCCCGTGAGTTGCCATCGACGCTTGGGTCGGCTTGTGGGTCGCCAGAGGTCGTTGCGTGATATCCGGCCTTGAGCCAGACTTCTGGGTTGGGGCAGACGGGCCAGAAACGAAAACATACACCCGAGGGGTATCGGGCCGGACGAAAGGGGGGGATTGGGAAAGGGGGGATTACGAAATTTGCTGCATGCAGCTGGATTCGGCCTCACCGAGGGGCCCATTCCTCGATACATAGCCGCCTCTGGCGCCGGGAGGCGCAGGGAAAATCAGCTACGTGAGCTGATTCTCAAACCCCCCCTTTGCTATCCCCCCCTTTCGCCCGACCCGAGGGGTAGTCGGGACTTTTGGGTCCGCGGATCGAACGGATCAGATCGGCGGATGTCAGGGGTCTCCGAGTTCACCCCGCAGACGGTTGCCGCTCAGGGAAGAAGGGGGGAGCTCGGCGATGCCCCCTCCGGGTGCCTCCCGCCTGCGCCCCGATCGAGGATTGGGCGCCCCCAGCGCTGTAGATTCCCATGTTTGGCGTCACTTGTTGTGCCCAGTCGGAATTTCGCAGGCCTAGAGGTTGACACCAACACCAAGATCGGCGGGGTGCCTCCACCGAGGGAAGACGATCCCGATCTCGGTGATGGTGTTAATATTCTGGCTTCCAAGGTGGCCGAAATATTGCCACCAACACCGAAATCTAGGATCATCTTCCCCCTGTGGGGGCAACCCCCTGGGCTGGTGTTGGTGCCAATTTCCAGGCCTCCAAGAGTTCCTCGAACATGGCGGGGTATTGGGGTCAGTGGAGTTTGTCCCTCGTCACGAGCGAGACGGGTCCTGAGTGGAGTGTCGCCGTTTTTCGGAGGAGGTCCAGTCGAGACCACGGGTGTCACGCCCTGACCTTTTTCCCAGAAGTCTACGCCTCGTGGAGGTTTCTCGTCGCCAATGGTGGTCCGCCTCGGCGCTCGGGTCTCCCAGCGCCTCACCCGAGCCCCTGGGGCCGTCAACAAGATGACTCAGGACGAACAGCGGGCCCCGGGGAACAAAAACCGGGATGAAGGACCCATTTCCTCAGTCTCTTTCGAGGGGGTGCGACGACAATCGCGTCTCGCGCGTCGCAGCCTGGACCAGGAGTTGTTGCCCTTTTCCAAGGGGTGCGGCGTGAGGGCGCGAAGGTGCGAAGGTGACCGCGCGTCGCGCATCTCGCGGCGCGATGCGTAAATTTAGGTGACCCAGACGTCCAATGTTTCCACCGCCCCTCGCCCCCCGTTGTTGTTTGTTTGTTTGTTTACTTTGTAGGTTTCTTATGTGTTTTGTTTGACAGCACGGGTTCCCCAGAGGTCTGGATCTCATCGCCAGCACCTGTGTTTCATCCCGAGCTGTTTTTTGACGGCCCCGTACCCTGGCGAGGGCCTGGAGGCCGAACGTGTCCAACAAATTCCGTCGTGATTCTTCATCGCTCGAGTCTGCCGGTTTTCGAACCATAACTCGGGCCTGAGGCGGCCGTTTGGGGCGATTCTTGCATCCACCGGAATGCTCCTGGGGCGAGAAAGTTTCCAGAAAGCACGAACGCAGCTGCTGGAAAGCTTCGGCGAGGCGCAGCTGCTGGAAAGCATCCTGGGGCGAGAAAGGCTTCAATAAACAACGAACGTCGTAGGAACTCACGACGCGAGGATCCCAACATTCCGACGTCGTGTGATTGTTTCAAAACGTGGACCCCCGGAGCTCTTTATGGGTTGTTTTTCAGCGCGAGTCGTTTCTGGACGGTCCCAGTGACCGATGAAGGCCCCTGGAGACCGAAAACAGGAAACAACAGTCGTCGTGAACTTGTTTGCCAAGGAGGAGAGTTGGGGGACCCCACGTTGGGTTCTGGACCGTTTTCCTTCATGCCAGCGAGGGGCGGCGATGAGCCCTGGGCTCGCCCGGCGGGCGCCGGCGCGGCGTTGCCCGTCGATGTCGCCGCCGTCGGGTTGGTGCAGAGGGCAGTTCGCGTAGGAGCAGTCCGAGGAGGAGCAGTCAGTCGAACCACGAAAATTGCATAATCAGTATAGCACGGTCGACATGAGCAAGACATGACACAGTCGATTTCAGCATAGCACTGTCGACATCACCATACCACGGAAAAAACAACACGACAACAATCTATGATGCGGTCTGATTCGGGGAACGGCAAGGGGCAGAAACATAGATGTCCGTCTCTCGGACAGGATTTCTTAGATCGGCGTTGGACCCCCCTGCGGCGACCCGGGCGTCGCCCCTGTCGCGCTCCGCGCGCCATGGAGAGGGGCTCAGCGCCGATCTAAGAAATCCGCGCGGACCTCCGGCATTTATGTTTGTCTAGGCCTCTCAGATGACCCGGATGGGGTGGGAGTAGATGGGGTCGAAGGATCGTGCCTCATCGCCGATGCATCGACGATGCGGCTCGATGCGGAGCCCGATTGTCGCCACGCTAATGGCGCCAATGCATCGCGGGCATCGCCGCTGCATCGCCAGTGCATCGCCGATGCATCGGCGATGCATCTGCGATGCATTGGCGATGCAGCTCGATCCTTCGACCCTATCTATTCCGACCCCATCTGGGAGGCCTGTAGTTTGTGTATGTTTTTCCTCTTCAAGGTCAGAAGGCATCACAATCCAAGCTCTGGGGGGCCTCACTGGGCTCGGGGGCTGCCAGAAACGACCTGGGATGCGACACTCGTCTCCCGGAAGAGGTCCAGACCTCCCAGGGGCCGAGGCCGACGTTGTGAAAAACACTGTGTCGGATGTCTGGGAAGGATGGGTCACGTTCCAAGGGTATTTGTTCTTGGTCTATCCTAGCCATGAGCCATGGGCCACGGGCGTCCAACTTCAGCTTCAATTTGGACGCCCAAGGGCCTTGCACCCTTACCGCGCATCTTTATCATCTTTTCGCGCTGACGTTCGAGGACCCAGGGTTTTCGTATGTGTCTGCATCTGGAGGCCGCTTTCGAGGCCCAGGGCTGTCAGAAATCGCCCTGGGGAAAGAAGCTGGCTAGGATGGACCGGGGGAGGGGTCGATGGGGACTGATTCGAGCGGATGTTGGCCGTTCGGCGGGGACCGATTGTACACAGATTCTGGCCGAAATCGGGGCGCCAGTATTGGGCTGATGCTTCATACAGGAAGGAGGACGGAGGTATTTAGTCGTTTTCGGCAGAACTTGGGGGACCCCGTGATGAAAAAGAGGGATCTCCATGCTCCGCATAGGTGCGTCCGATTATCCCCTGGGGATGTATGCCCGAGTTTCGGTTTAGCTCTGAGCGGTACACGGTTCCTTTTGGAAGTCGTGGATTGGGGGCGGGAAGTCGTTGGCGACGTATTCGGCTGAGGCAAAGTCGGGCAACACATCGAGTCGGCCAGCCCGTCGTTGTCTCTCGCCTTCTGGGGGCCGCTCTCGGGCCTCGGAGCCATCAAGACATGACTCGGGACGAAGACGGGCCTGCTGCGGAGGGGGCCGAGAAAATTGGGGGCGCCACGCCTCGAACAGATCGAAAGAAAGAGCGCTCTCTGCCGCTGCTGGCAGGGGCGGGGGCGGGGTGTTCAAACCGCATCCCAAACAGCTGGGACCGATCCAAACCAATTGATATTCATTTCACCAGCACGATAAGACAAGCTGGTATCAATTCCAACCGGTCAAGTAACTCGCCAAATGTTTTTCATCTCCCCCACGCCCCGGTCCAAAACCGCGACGGCCGCCGCAAGCAAACGACGCATGTGACCGCCGCCAGCCCGCGATGCGGACGACGATGATGAGGACGACGACAATGACGACAACGACCACGCCGACGACGACGACGACGACGATGACGAAGACGACGACGACGACGACGACGACGACGACGGCGACTACGAGGGCGACGACTACGAAGACGACGACGGACAAACCGGTGATGCAAAACAACCTCGACGACAACGCCGACGCTGTCGAAAACGTCGATGACTAAGATGGCGAGAAGGAGGATGACGACGACGGGCAGAGCAGAGTAGGCGTAGAGTAGAGTGTAAGCTGCTGAGTAGAGAAGAGTCGAGCCGGAGTAGAATCAAGTAGGGTTGAGTAGAGTAGGGGCATACTAGAGTCCAGTGCAGGAATATCGGATACGGTATATTAGGGAAAGGTAGTGTCGAGTAGAGTAGAGGAGTGTCGAGTAAGGTGGGGCAGAGCACAGTAAGTACAATGCTGTAAGGCCCTCGTAGGATTCTGAGAGAGCTGGAGCGAGTCCTACTAGCATTATATAAGAGCGGGCGCCTGGCGCGGGCGCCGGCGACAGGTGCGCCCCGCCGCCGCCGCTCACGTTGTGGCCGCCGTTGTCGTCGTCGTCGTCGTCGTCGTCGTCGTCGTTGTCGTCGTCGTCTCGTCGTCTCGTTGTCGTCGTCGTCCCCGTCGTCGTCGTGCTCGTCGTTGTCGTTGTCGTCGTGGTCGTCATTGTCATTGTCGTCGTCGCCGTTGTCGTCGGCGTCGTCGTCGTTGTAGTCGTCGTCGTGGTCGTCGTGGGGGGTGGGGTTCTGGACCCCCTGAAAAATTGCCTGGGGGGGCGGCTCTGGACTCTGGACCCCCCCGATCGTTTCCCAAGGATGGAGGACGGGCGGGGGGTTCCGGACCCCCTAGGTTCTTCCCGGGGCATTGGGGTTAGGGGGTGAGGGATCCCCTGATTTCTGACCGTTCCTTTTGATGTTGTCCCAGAAGAGATAGCCGTTCTGGCTCAGGTTTCCCCCGAGCTTGCATCAGCGTACTTCTTCAGAACGTCATTGTGCTGTTGCGGGCTAATTTGGCTCTTCTGCGTTCGATGGACGATCCCTCTCCATACTAGCCCGCGAGGGCAAGGCAGCTCCGAGCCATGGCTGGCAAAGGAGGCGGTTTTGGCAAAGGTGGCGGCGGTGGCAAGGGCAAGATTCCCTGGGCGCCGTGGCGCCGTGGCTGGAGCTCACCGACGACGTTAGATCCAGCTTGGAACCCTGAAGATGTGCGTGCTTGGCCTCCTCTTCGCCCTGGTCTTCAGACTCCTGACGACAGCGATGGCAGCGGGCAGTTCGTCGGGCTTCGTGGCAAGTCCAAGGGCCAGAAGTGGAAGTGCGGTCGCTGTGGTTGCGCACGTAACGAGGCTCGTTTCTACTTCTGCAAGCACTGCGGGGCCCTCAAGAGCGAGGCCATGGTCGACCGCTCGTCCTCGTGGGCGAACGGCCCCCCGCCTTCGCATGGAGGAGCCGACGGTGGCACTGGCGGAGCAGGTGCTAAAGGGAAGGGAGCAGCCAGCACAGGGAAGGGCGGGGGCAAAGATGGCCCTCTCCCAGGTGCGGCGCCCCCCCAGTATTCAATAATACAAGCAGCTTGCGGATATGTGCGAGAAGGCAGGCGACCCCCGAGGTGCATCCTTGCATCGCCAGTCCGCCAAGGCTCTCGAAGTTCCAGCTCCTTCGGTCGAACCACTGCAAGTGCAGCTCCAGCGCGCCGATGGACGGGCTCGCCATATTGAGAGCAGGCTCGAGCAGGCCTGCGCCAAGCACGAGTCTCCCCAGGCGCAGCTTGATGCACAGCAGCAGCTTGTGGTGCAGCTCAGGAGCGAACGCGCGGAGGCCAACGAGGAGCATTCTAGATTGGCACGGCCCCTGGCAGAGAAGCTTCCTGAGGGGCCATCGGTTCCCAAGCTGCCTGCTGAGGTGCTTTTCGACCAGGCCAAGCTCGAGAAGTTCTTCGACATCGACTTCGGCAACATGTTCAAACTGGACGATGACACCGAGCTCGGGACTGAGGATGCGGAGCAGCTCTGCAAGCGCGTGGGCCAGCTCAAAGACGGCTTCGCGGATCTGGCCAATAACTTTTTCTGAGGCCAAAGCCAAGATGGACGCGGCTAAGCTGGAGTGCGCTGCCTTGGTGGACAGGCACCAGAAGAAGAGGAAGGTTTCGCCAGACTCCAAGGAACAAGCTGGTGGGGAACCTACTGGCGTAGCGATCGCATCTGCTGCGGCTGCCGGGGCGCCATCTACTCCATCGGCTACAGCGGGCGCTTCTTCTGAGCCCGGCGCCAGTGCGCACCCGCTGGGCAGTGTCAAGGAAAGGGCTGATCGTACCGCAGCAGGCGGAGGGATGGCGCCGAAGCCGCCCGACGCCCCCCCCCCCCCCCCCCATTGGAAAAGGGCGTGAAACTGCCTTGCGCGGCCTCTGGTTCTGGGGCGCCCTGGCTCGCCGCTCGGTGCTCCTGGATCTGGGCCACGTTTGTCTCTGTCATGTTCTTCAGGGGGGTTTGACTTCGCATTCAGATTTTTAGAGGCGAGCGCTCTTGTCAGCCAAGCCCGACCAGCCGACGCGGCTGGCGCGTTGCTCTGGAGGAAGCGGGGCCTTCCCCGTCTCTTCGCCGGTGATCTTTCTTTTCAGCTGAGCGTTCCAAGTCACAGGCGGGAGCTTCTGCTCATTCGAGCGAACGACATTGCCATGTCCTAGAGTCACGGCCCCTCGCTCGGCTCGTCGTCTTTCCGCAAGCAGCAGGCTCCTCTCAGTTTTGCCGGGCCTTCGGTGAGCTATCTTGTGATGTCGTTGGGCAAGGATGCTCTTTGTCGCGCCGCCTCTGTGGCTCTGCCGCTGGCTGGCCCGCGGCCCGGTTCGTTTCGTGCAGTTTCCTCCAGCGACAGTGTTCAGAATCTGAGTTCTGTGGCGCTCAAGGTTCAGAGCGCCAGCGGGAATCACTGGGGCGCGCTGCGCACGTTTGTGGAAGGGTCTGCCGCCCATGTCTTGCTCCTCCAAGAGCATCGGCTCCTCGACTTGGAATCTATTCAACGGGCTAACGCCCAGTGCCTCCATCATGGTTGGAAGTCGTCGTGGTCCAGGGCTTCCGCCACTGAGGCGGACGACACTTCTGGTGGTGTGGCCGTGCTCTGTCGTTCCTGGATGGGCTGCCTCCACGCCCC